AACTATATAACACATGGAGTAAAATTATGATAGGATAGTATAAAAGGAACTATTACATTATTACCTATACATAGGATGAGAAGTATCAGGTAGATAAAATATGAAGTTGATAAAATAAGGATCATGGTTACTTAATACTACAAAGATTGAGTGCAATAGTATTTCATAGATTCACCAGAATAAATATTTTGTTTATAAATCGAGGTGAAGTGAAACAAACAATGGTAACATAAGGAAGAAAACTAAGGAAGGATAATTTATATTGATTAATATTAAGTAATTATATACATTAAGAATGCCTTGGATATAAGAGTTCAGAGATCCAAGAGGAATTGAATTGAAGTTTAGTTAAGAGTATAGCACACAATTATATTTGACCCAAGTCTATAAAGGTATGGACTAGGGAGAATAGGTTTCTGGATATGATGGTATCCAATGAATGAATAAGTTGTTATAAGTTGTTTTATGATTACCCTGAGTTTGTTAGACACAGACTAGGAATAAGAGTTTCTGGGCAGTATGACCCCAAGTTTATTTTATTTTAGTCAGTTGAACTGTACTAAGGAATACGGATTGGTCAGAACATTAGGACAATCCTGCTTTTAAGATGTATTACATTAATAAGTCATCACAATGCTAATGAAGAGAGTTGTGATAATTAATTTACATTATTCTTTGTAAGTTATTTTAAAGTAAACCATGTTTCTGTTGAATGAAAAATTTGTTACTACAAGGTGGAATTTTAGTGAAAATTATAATTATGTAAACCAAAACAAATCTATGATAGAAAGATTTCTGGGTGAAGAATTTCTAGGACAATAAGTATTGTCAACACCATGAACATTATTTGAAGAATTATTATAGAACTTCATGGTTGATAACACATCCTTTGAATGAGTCTTATAAGTAGTGTTGATATGTTTCAGGTAGTTAGAGCCTACTGAATATACAAATTAAATACTATGATTGTAAAGTACTGATACCTTCATCACTAGGTGGTATTAATGGTATAGGAATGTAATTCATGAATACAAATGACCTAAACATTTTAAGGTTGCTAGAAAACATATTATTCATGGAAGTATAAGTGGACGTATATTATAGTAATACATGTATTAGTACTTAAGTAATATCAGGTATTGAGAATGAAAATACTTTATTATATGTGTCTGTAGGAATATGATAGTGAAACACAGTTATTATTATTTAGAAAATTATCATCTTGATTTTGTTATCTACAAAGACATGACTGTACCAGAGCAGGTAGATCTTTCTGATTGCTTTACATTGTTTATTGGATCAACATTTGTAAATATTTTATTTTATTAATTTATTATTGTTATATATATGTACATATTATGTTCAAGTAGTTATGATGTAACATGGATATGGATCAATACATAACTGAAACAGAGGGAGTTTTGAAGTAAAGTAAGCAGTATGAGGGATAGAAACTCGACCTTCTAAGAACTCTCATATAATAGAAAGTTGTGACTACATCTTGTTCTATGCTCATTGAATGTGATACAAGTGATGTATGAATGGACAGGTTAGTGACATTGTGTTATGGTTTTAAGACAAACCATAAACAGAGGGAATGTAGAATATTGCATATTCTATGTTTCTATTGATTATATATGGATGTGTGGATTGACATAAGTAACAGATGGTATAAGTCAAAAGGCTTTCTTTGTCCGAGAGCTCTGGAATGTGGATTTGGGGGTTTTGTCCTTATTTGGCTAGAGTTAAACGCTGAAGTTACTATAAGTACATCTATATAGTAACACAGGGACACAAGGTCGCTCTCGGTCTTGGTTGGGCTCTCTCTGGCTCTCTCTCGATGTAAAGATGTAAGGATGTAAAGGAGTCCAGCAATTACCATCTGCTGTTGAATGTCCATTATCCTGTAACATCATTTGTTGTTTTATTATGTATCCGTAACTAAGAATAAACCTGAAGAAACCGTAAGTCAGATTGCGTATTAGTACTTTTCAATAATATAGACATATATTATTGTGGCGAGCATTTGGCCCAAGACTATATATACAAAAGACGTATATATCAATTAACTTAAGAAGAAGAAATTAAGAAGATTTAACAGTGACGATTACAACCAGATTTTACAAATGGTGAATGGAGACTGTGTGCTCTATATCACCATCAGCCTGCAATCACCACTACTACACCCCTGCATGCAGTATTGAGGAGCAATAAACTGTAATCACTGTTACAGTTATGGAATTTCCAATTGTAGTTGTGGTGGCAGACTAACGCGCACATATAATGCATTGCTGTAAAAATGCAAATTGACCATTGCTAACTTCCATTAAGGATCGATTTTACAAATTCCACACTTTCCTTTTTCTCTTATACCTCGCACATAAAAAAAACAAAACAAAGTACGGAATACCTTGTTGTGAAAGCAAACATTACAGAAATCCATGGTGCATCATCTGCATATTTATAATAATCCCAAGAAATCATGTTTCCATAATTCTCTCAGAATACGCATCTTGACATGCAAATGAGCCAAGACAGGCAACGCGTTTTAAACTTTATTCTGCATCTCTGCAGGTAACCCTTACCAATTGAGCACTTGAATTGTCATCCACAAAGGAGAGTGACAGGAAACCTCCTCTGTATCGTCCCTTCACCAGTTCATAACAACCGTGAATAAAACTCATTATTTTTCAGTATTGCTTGATGAAGACATGCAGTCGAAACGTTGCTGTTTTGCCAATAAAGGGATATTTTTTTCACAATAAGAATGCTTGACATCTAGTTGTTTATTTCCTTTTGTTGGTCATAGTGACATGTTAATATTTACCTGGACACATTTTGCTTCTAAAGCTAAAAGGAATTGCAAAATAGTGCTGTTCTATAGTATGCGGCATTTAACTGCTACAAGAGTTAATTTAACAAACCAAGCACCACAGTTATTTGGGGATTTGAATTGATAAATAACTTGATTCCGCTTTTTGTATAGGATTTTAAATTTGACGTAGAGATATGTGGTGGATCTTGCATCCCTAGGTAGAAATATCTTGTCGCCAACAAAGGGGTTAATGATGGTAATAATTTTATGTTTTGCGGTAAGAACTCTTGTACATTGAATACTGCCTTTATTTTTTTCCCAATTGATTTTCTACAGCAGACTATTATGTAAATTGAAATTGCTGAATATTTTTTCCAACATTTATTCCCTAAAACAACCTACCTTTTTCAAAGCTGTGTACTCAGAAAACACTGCATTATTTATCAAAACAAAATAAACACTATGATATTTTCTTCCTGAGAGCTTTTCTGTAGTGCAGATGAGACATATGGTTAGCTGGAGGGTTAAATATGAACCTTTTCTCTTGCTTTAAATGAGAAAGTGTGCACCATTTGGCTTGGAGGGAGGTATCATCAGCTAGAGTCTTGTTAATAAATTATTCCTGGCACAGTTGGGTAGTTTATCGAATAAATTACTTTCTCTTTAGAAATACTAACTCTTCAAGAGAGCATTAATTTAATTTAGTAACATTTGTATATAAAACATTGTTTGCATCTGGAAAAAAAGCAGTTGGCTCAGGGATGGATTTTATAAGCAAGGTGTCTTTGTCCTGGGGTGGAACTACCAGTGGTGCAGCCGGTGAAAATGCCCTCCAGTCTGCAAGCTTGAGGTGCCCATCATGTGACCCTAACACTAAGGACTATGCAATGGGCATCTCTGATTAGGTGCCAGATCAGGAATTGCAGGCCTTTAATTAGAACATTGGACCGGGCCCCTGTGAGTTTGGCTGTTCCCCTGCTGGGCTGGGAGGAAATGATCAAACTTCACTTCCTCCCAGAAGAGAGAGAAAGAGCAGTGCAGGAGAGAAGAGAGAGGAGACAGTCCTAGCCCATTCCAATCAATCCCAGCCGCACAACTTAAAACACTGCAGCCATCTCCTTGCAGCCTACACTGGAACCCATGGAAGTCTGTGTGATTACCAAATTCTAACGTAACCCAAACGGGCTCTATGTTCACCTCACTAACTTTTATTAGGCTAGATTTTATGCTATCCTTCACATACAGGGCCACCCCTCCCCTTTTCTTGCCTTCCCTGTCTTTTCTATATAAAGAGTACCCTGGTATTGCTACGTCCCAGTCATTTTTCTCATTATACCATGTCTCAGTAACAACGACTAAATCTACACTATCAGTTGCCATTATTGCCACAAGTTCATGAATCTTATTCCCTAAACTGCGAGCATTTGTAGACATCTAAGCTTATCATTTTTTAACACACTTGCTACAGGCACCTTCTGTCCTTGTTTTGGATTGATGTTTTATCACCTTTTTGTCCCCCCCACCTCCTAGTTTAAATCCAAGCAAAACCTCTGAACTGCTCACTGAGAACATTTGTTCCCTTTTGAGAAAGATGCAAACCATCTTTTTTGTACAGTTTATTTCCATTCCAAACAGAGCTACCATGAGAAATAAAGCCAAATCCTTGCTCCCGACACCATTCACCAAGCCACAAATCTGCCTGCCGAACAGTTTGCAATCAGTGATATTTAAAGGGACCGTGTCACAAGCAAAACTACTTCAGCTCATTTCAAAGAGCTTCAAACTCCATCTATATATTGTGCAAGCAAATGTATAAATTGGGAGAAAATATGTTAAAAAATTATTTTTCTGCGATCTGTCTTCCAATTGCTCAGCAAACACTCAATGCTGAGGAATTGAGAGACAGGGAGAGCATGAGAGACCTCCCACAGAATGTTACTCTGCACTTCGCCCACAGCAACCACAGTGCTGTGGTTGCTATGGTAACTGCTAGTGCTGTCTAGGGAGTTTAGAAACGATGTGACACAACGTACCTCCATTCGGACGCTGGAAGTGAAGCCAGTGTGTCAGCATCATGGTGGAGGTCTGCCCTGCTCCACTGAACAATGCAACCAAGATGTTACAGGACCGGTTGTTTGATTGACAGACAACACCCTAGATGTAACAAGGTTAATTTATAAAAGGGCCAATTTCTAAGTGCCAAGAGAAAACACTTTTCACACAAAGAATTGCAGCAAACTGAAGTTTTAAGGGTCTGTAGTGTTTGGCATTAACCCTATTAGAATCCTGCTTACCACAGTCAAGTAAAACCTTTCCATCATCACATCGCAGGCAGGTAGAACAAGGCATTGGATGTCAAGGACTCCTTTTACTCATCAAAACTCTTCAAAATGGGTTCACATAAACAAAAGAGACATCACTTCGAACACCATAACCACTACAAAAAGCTATAGTAGTTATGGTGCTTGGAGTTTACTTTTAAGGATTAACATGCGATAACTTTCTTAAACGCACATACATCACTTGCCCTGTAACTTTTTATGTTAAAAGTACACTCCAAGCACCATAACCACTACAGCTTGTGGTTTTACTACTTACAATGGTGAGGGACACCATAACCACTACAGCTTGTGGTTTGCCTACTTAAAATGGTGAGGGACACCATAACCACTACAGCTTGTGGTTTGACTACTTACAATGGTGAGGGGCACCATAACTACTATAGTGTTCCTCTAAGTAGACTGCTCAGTAAAAAAACAAACAAAAATCATGTCTGCAAAAAACAGTATACCATAATAAACAGCTATGTGTTGTGCTGATATTTTTGAAAGTTCAGCCAGTCCGGTTCTACCTGGACAAGGATTCAGCGAGAAATTCTCGCTTTTTAGGGAAAGATCACTGGATACCATTTAGAATGTACCATCCAGGACTGAATGGGTGTATTAGATGCCCCTCCTTTTATGTTTTATTTAGCAACTTAATACTTTGCTTACATTTCTCTAGATCACGCATTCAGCACTTTGCAGATAGAAATTAAAATCAATGGCTGCAGTGTTTTTGGAGAATCGATAGTGAGCTGAGCATTAATAATTCACAGACATTGCTTTATGCCTTATATTTTACATGGTGACATTTGGCCATTTGCTGTACACATTGACCTGAACACAAAGCCAAGCATGTCAATAAATGCAGAGCTGGCACGATTCCAGCTGTACATTAGTAAAATAGGTCAGTGCCAATCAAGGATGAAATGATAGCATGCGTAAAGTGTGCATCACGCAATACATCAGACAGGAGTTACATTTCTAATGCATAATGGGATATCGACAAGCATGTCTTTATCTTGTTAATGGCGCATGTTATGACTAAACCAAATGATGGCAATGGGATAGTCATATTTTTATATTGTAGCAACAGCTTATGCAGCACTTCAAACGGTATCTAATGCAGGTGTATTCAAATGCCTGACTCCAATAAAACATTGCCAGCCAAATAGATGGAAAAGGTTCATGGGAGTTGTGTTAGAAATAGTTGTTGTGACGAAGTGCCCTTCGCCACTTGGTCCTGGAGAGGCCTACTTGCCAGCCTCCTCCCCTGTGACTATGACTCTTTCATCTATCTGGCTTTAAAGCCCCTAGTCTACCTTCAGACAGACTATTTATGTGGGCTGCTTTATTTATCCTATGTTTTAGTCACCCTGTACCCATTATAGGTGCAGGGTGTGTGTAATGTAATTGTTTATAGTGTGTGTGTGTGTACTGTGTAATGTATTGCCTGCTCTCTTGTATTGCTGAGGTTTGCTACCAACTAGGTGGGTTTGGCTATGGAGCTGGTCTAGTGCCCTCTGTTGGTAGCAACAGCAATATGCACTACCTGAATTGCAAGACTGGTTCATTTGCATATTCGGGTAGATTTGCATATTGCTAATTCTGCAGGCAGGTGAGATATTTACTGTTAAATATTGTCTCCCCCCACCCCTTTAAAAATGTGCCATTGTGTTGTGATAAGTCACTGTGTGTTTCTTGATATGGTTTGACTGTTTGTGATTTTATTGAGGTTTCACAACAATGTTATTGTGGTGACTGTATTGGCTGGTCCCAAGGGAATAAAGGTTTTGACAGCTCTTCTTGATCCCTCTAAATGTAGCCTTGTCTCGTTATTGGAGGGAGCTGTTATAATCACACTGGGGATTGCTATGCTCTGCATGCTACCCTGAGCTTGAATCACTTAGCTCTTTTAAGAGCTTGTTCCTGACACGCTCTCCTTGGAGGAGGGGTCTTCACCACACAGTCCTGGAGGACAGAAGCTGTCCAGGGTGGAAGGAAGACGGCGAGACTCCAGTCAAGATACGGCGGTTGCGGAGTCTGCGGTGGTTGTGGTGTCTGCTGCAGTGCTTGGGAGTCCTCAGAAAGCGCTAGGAGCATCCATCAACGGAGGGTACTCAGTCGGAGTACAAGGAGCTCCGTTACAGTTGTCATGTAGAGTATGCTTAAATCACGAATGGAGGAGAATTAACAGTGGAAATAAACATTTTACATCAAAATAGCAGAGCTCAAGAAAAAATTACAACTTCACTTTTTTTCAGCTTGGTTGATTTCAGAGTGTCAGGAATATAAACATGTATTTCTGATAATATAGTGTTGGTGTGGCTGTTTAGGTCTACAGTCCTACCTGTCGAGGAGTGAAAAGGAAATTTTACTCACCTTTTCTCTCATGCCGCACAAGCTCCATCTCTCAAAGGAACGTTCTGTGCCTGCATGTAGAGCCTGGAGATGCTGAACGCCAATGCTGCACTGGACAAGGAAGCACCTCTAGTGGCCACCTGAGTGAATGCCACTAGTAGTGTAACTAGGCAGCAACGTAAACAGTGCCTTTTCTCTGCAAATACATAATTTACATTTAAAATATATACACCAGAACCACTACATTAAATTTGCATTTTGTAAAACTTGTGAAAAACCACACACTGAAATAAACCGTAAGGAGGGCTCTTGTTTAGCATTAAAACATTAAAGAAACACTCTAGTCACCAGAATAACTACAGCTTATTGTATTTGTTCTGGTGAGTATAATCATTAGCTTCAGGCTTTTTGCAGTAAACTGTCTTTTCAGAGAAAATGCAGTGTTTACATTATAGCCTAGGGATACTCCCACTGGCCACTTCTTAAATGGCCACTAGAGGTGCTTCCTGGGGAAGTGCTGCATAGTTTGCAGCATCGCCATTCAGTGACTCCACCCTCTGCATGCAGACACTGAACTTTCCTCATAGAGATACATTGATTCAATGCATCTCTATGAGGAGATGCTGATTGACCAGGGCTGTATTTGGCTTGTGCTGGCTATGGCCCTGATCTGACAGTCTCAGTCAATCCTATACAAATGCATTGTGATTGGCTCAAATCATCACTTCTGATGATGTCAGCCAAGCAGGCAGATCAGGAGCAGAGCCAGCACCAGGAGACTGGGATAAAGGTAAGATTTTACTATATTTAGGGGCGCAAGATATTTAATTTTAGTATAGGGTCAGGAATATATGTTTGGGTTCCTGACCCTATAGTGTTTCTTTAACTATAATAGGGAACATTATAAAAATGTAATTGATACCTATGTTATCTTACTTTTCTCAGAACATCTCTGGCATACCGTATACTTGTGGTGGCAGACGGTTTAAAGAAGCACTATAGGGTCAGGAACACAAACATATATTCTTGGCCAATCAGCATCTCCTCATACAGATGAATTGAATCAATGCATCACTATGAGGAAAGTTCAGGGTCTGCATGCAGAGGGAGGAGACACTGAATGATTTGATGCATTTTAGGCAGCCATGACCCAGGAAGGATCTCTAACAGCCATCTGAGGAGTGGCCAGTGGAGTTATCACTAGGCTGTAATGTAAACACTGCATTTTTCTCTGAAAAGACAGTGTTTACCACAAAAAGCCTGAAGGTAATGATTCCACTCACCAGAACAAATTCAATAAGCTGTAGTTGTTCTGGTGAGTATAGTGTCCCTTTAAACTTTCTTTGTACTGAAAATGCCCCTTTGTTAATTTATTAGATGCCCAGCTGCTGCGCATTGTCAGGAAATGTGAACGTACACTAAATTTCTAACCTAATACTGATCTGCAAAACATGGCTGAGCGTGAAAGGAATGATAGTCCAACAAATTGCGCTTCACTGCTTCCCAAACTGATTTCTTTGAAAATGTACAATTAAAAGAAATATAGTGTTTTGAGTTTTAGCAGGTTGGTGAGGCTTATGTTGCTGTATGTATAGAGATAAGATAATGGAGTTAACATTCAATAAATGAAACGCATGAATGAAGTGGCATTTGTGAGATTCTAAAGGAGGTTTTAAAGTAGAGCGGCCATTAAAGTGAATCAGTTATCTGTGAGATGTTGGCTTATTAAATTTACATTTGGAGATTGCCTTTCCTTTGTGTGTGTGGTATTTTTAACAGTGTAATAGTTTCAGAAATATTGTCATTTTTACCTTAACATCTTGCAGTAGTATACACTGGTGTATTTGAACTTACCTAATTTCTCCTTGTTGAAATATTTCAACAGCAACGAAAGGAGGAAACCAAATTACTGACAAACCTTGCCAAGGTGGATTCATTTAGTAAGGTAGGGATTTGTTAAGCCATATCTGCATCTAGAAAGATTAACGCAACATTAGACCCAAATCCTCCCTTCCCTCTGTTTCTACTTACAAAGTAACGGACCCCCTATACTCCGACTGAGTATATCTGTTGTAATTCACGAATGTCTCAAGTGAAGCAGTGATTATAGCTCTGGTATACCCAAACATCAGCCATAATAAAACAGTCTTCTTGTACCCTTCATCAAGTCTAGGCTGATGTTACCAGTGCTATAATCACTGCTTCACTTGGGACTTGGGAGAGTTACAACGGATATACTCAGTCGGAGTATAGGGTGTCCGTTACACAGGGTCAGGGCCGCCATCAGGGGGTGACAACCATGACTGTTGTCATGGGCCTGGTGGCCCTGGTCCCATATGGAGCGGCAAAACTGCCGCAGGTGCATCTACACCGGGGCCCATTGGGTGGCCAGAGCATTTAGGGCCACCTGATGAGCCCTATATCTTCAGGGGTCTAGTCAGCGCTGCAGCCGTGTAAGAGCACGACCGGGCCCCTTTAAAAAAATTGCGGCTGCACCGCAAGTGCCGCTGGGACGAAGTGACGGCTGGTCACTTCCTCCCAGCTTACTCCACGCGGGGGGAGAGACAGCCGAGGAGAGGCATCCACTCCCATCATCCCCAGCCACCCTCCTGCAACGAAAAGGTAAGGAAAAGGAGGGTGGCTAAAAAATGAGGTGTGTGTATATATGTATGTGTCTGCATGTATGTGTGTATATATCTATGTATGCGTATGTATGCCTGTATATGTGTGTATGTATATATATATTTATCATT